GACAGACGATATCAAGAAGACGCCGAGGTTCAGCGCAGACTCAGGCAACTCGACGCGACGCGCAGGGAACGAGAGCGCGCAGAGGCTGAGCGTGCCCGGCAGCAGCAGCGTGGAGGATGGTGCGTTGTGATGTGACCGAAGTAACAGCCGTGGCCCCACTTTGGGGAAACTGTATGCCTGCGCAATTACAGACCGTACAATCCATCACGTACTCTAGCATGGCCAAATGTGTAAATACGAGAATAATATCAGCTAGATTCTCCTACATCCCATGGGGCATTTCGGGAACGCATTCGAAGCGAAATAACAAACTGGGACTCTACTGAAACGTCACAAGATTTAGCACCCCCGGGTAACGAGCAAATTGGTCCTCAAAGCGCTTCCGCTGGGAGTCTGATGCCTCCAGAAAGACGAGTCTCTCTACTCCACTATTGTGCACCATGCGCACCCACCAGTCATCGCGCGCAGAGAGGAAGGTGACAGGAAAGTCAGAGAATGTCAGCTTTCGCAAGGAGCGCGAGCCAGTAATGGCATCCTTCACGTCTTTGGCGACGCTTGCGTACTGCAGGAAGTGGATCGATTCCTGTGCTATGAATGCATTAGAAGAGGTCAAGGAATGCGCGGACGTGACTCACGAGAGTCGTCGACTGCTGTACGAATGGAGCGATCATAGACGAGCCCAGATGCCCTATGTACAGCGATTCTGGATCAAGGATACTGAGAATTTCGGAGAGATTCTCGGTCCCCGAGGGCGTAGGGTCGAACGGTGGGAAAACGCACACGGCCTTGACATTCGGTGCACACCTGGCGACGGAGAGCAGTTCCCTGCTGTATCTTCCACTTATGCGCATGTATGTAATCCTCTCGGCAACGTGCTGGTTGTTCTTTAGGTAAGGTGCGACCTTCGCTGCATGCCGCCGGGAGACCAGTAGAAGGCTACTGTACAACATAGGCGTGCCTATGCGCGCCCATTGCTTGCACACGAGCAGGATATCGCACGCAGGTGGGATATTGAGAGATATTCGCCTGTATCCCACATTCTGTGCACGGGTTTCGTCGAAGAAGTCCGCTGGTGAAAGCAGCAGACACATTTCGAGGATCAAGACGAGCAGTTCCTCTGGGAACTCTTGAATATGCATTGTGTGGTATCTGTGGTACATAATTAAGGAGTGGTAATCGAGCGGGACGGCCAACAACTTATAACGTACAATTCAAGGACAAGGAGCAGCTTAGCACTTGGGCAGCAGCATGAAGTTTGTGGTTAAGGACTAGGCGCCGACTCGTGCAAGGTCCGAGCACAGCCACGCCACAAAGTTACGATGGACGACGTTTCAGTTTGATCGCTGTACTATGTAAAGTAGTAGATGATGGGCTCTAGGGTACAGGGAAGCACGGTAGCATCGTCTTCAGGACCTTCCTCCTCAGCGTCCTTTTCGACCTTGGCACCTCTACTCTGCAAGCATACTCTCTGACCTCCCTGACATCGACTATCCTGCCTTCCGACAGCTCCCTAGGCCCCAGTGCGATATCCCTCTCCATATCCGAGCTATCATCCTCCTGCATATTCCGCCCGGACGGGTTCGGGCCTGTCTCGACGTTTGGGCCATGAAATGGGATGAACCACTCGGACGTGTCCTCCGCGCCCTCGATCGAGAAGAAACCGGTGCCAGCGCTGCTGACCGTAACACCAGACGCCTGCGACGTCGCGTCCCACTCGGTGTTCCGCGACGGCAGCTTCTGCATCCACGAGTCGATGACGTCCTCGCGTGTGACAGCGCGCTTTATGGTGACGGAGCTGCGGCACACCGCGCAGTCTGGGTCGGAGCGCCAGCTGTCGTCGCTTGTCTCGGTTCCAGACCGAAGACGTGTGCTTTTGCTAGTGTTGCGGTCGTGACTCGAGGATGCGTGACTCGAAGGAAGAAGGGCTTCTGTGGAGTCATCTACCACCCACGACTGCCATCTGTCGCAGGTGTGTCTGGGCGATGCGAATGGAGGCGCGAAGTAGGACTGGCTGTCAGATGGAGGGATTGGCGTGTAGTTCATTAAGAAGGAGCTCGAGCTAGCCATCGAGGTTCGACTGCTCGGCCATTCCGAAATCGACGGAGTGTTGGTAGAGAGCGAGTCCGGGTCACGACGGAGAGTCGGCTGGAGCTCTGGAGGAGGTAGCCGGATGAACGTTGGCATCTTGCATACAGGAGAAGATTTTGGATGTGTGTGTATACCGCAAGGGCTCTCAGACGGAGAGATATAGCCCAGGAGGTGGCCAGCATGTCGAAGGTGACAATGGTGGGCAATAGCAACGAGACAACCCGCTGCGTAAAATGCACTTCAATTGGAGGTCAGTGAACGGCGCCAGAATCGATGGGGAGACCTAGTTACCTCTGAATCATAATGACAATTGCTGCTCTGGCACAATAAACTGCAGTCATCGATAGAGCGATTATGAGGACGCTAAAGGGGAGGCACGTGACGTGCAACGCAATTGTGTTGCGCCTAGCCGTAAGATACCACGTACACCGCATTCGCGTTCGAAATTAGCTTCCTGAGAGTTGCACTTAGCGAACCTACCATGGGAAATGGTTTGAGAGCGGACATACACAATGGCGATCACATTCGGAGGCGCAGTTCAGCTTCGGGGACCCACGTAGAAGGCACATCAGATAGCGTGAAGGGTGAGCAGATTGGCTAGTTCGGAAAGAGCATCTAAGAGCCATGGCAGGGGTTACGCTGAGGACGATAAAGTGGACGATACTGGATAAGAGAGCCGCATCCATTTCTGTCATATAGCAACCACAGTCAGACATAAAACGGCATGCACAAACACGACATACCTCAGCCTAGTGGAGTCATTATTACACCGCCTTCGTACCGACTATGCCTGATATCGTGAGATTCCGCACTGTTGTCATTCAAGAGCCTCTGCGTTCCGTGGTTCCTCCATCCCGGGAGTGTACAAGTTGTGCATCATCCAGACAGCGCTGGCCGAATATTGTGTAGTCTAAATAACAAACATCAAACTAAACATCAAAAATGCAAGATGTAGCTGAGACTAAGAGCCACATACCAGGGGAAATTTGAAGCTTCGAAGGCGAGATACCAGCCTCGTTGCCATGACGACGGGACTCTGGTACATGTAGCATCACATTCGGTGCTGACAATTACAACAATAAGGCGTCGCGGATATCTTCAGCTTATCTCAGCGACCGAAGCAGCCTAGACCTACCATTGACGAGGCGAAGCAAGCCAGGGCCTAGCATCCATCGACCGACTCCCAGCGCATCCGCCCTCAGCGGAATGCTTCAATATCCAGGCGGTGGCTGCTAAAGCGAGTCTCTGGCTCTAGCTTGGCCTCGTATTTGTCCCCTGGCTGCCAGACGTCGACATTGGAAAAGTTTTTCTGCTCATGCTGACTTGGTGGAGGAAAAGTTGTGCCCGGGGAGGTCTCGGAGCGGAGGCGGCGATGCCGAGCTGATCCGAGAGGACCTTGTGGCGTTGCCGACAGCCCCGACCTTATGGCGTCTGTCTGTTTGTCCTCAGCTACTTCATCGCTTTCACGCTTCTGGGTGAACTCTGGCCTTCCACGAGAGTATCACATCAGCACTGGCTGTTGGATGAGTGACTATTGAAGCGAGATATAGCTGCTACAAGTCTTGCTATATGCCGTAAGTATGACGAATTCTTGTCCCACGTCTGTGCGAACATGTGTGTCAGCCATGAATGCGCGATAATGCAACGTCTTGAGGCTTAGCGTCGAACCACATATCCCATGTCGGGGACACGCGTTTCTGTAGTTTTGGTGCGTGCTGGTGTTTTGCATTTTCATACTACCAACAGTTGCTGATATGACTCCGACAACCCGTCACAGGGTGCGGGCAGCTTCGGCACTCCGGAGAGCGGCGCTCGTTTGAACGATCCTGCGATTGTGCAGCGGTTCATTGATCTGTGCGTCGTTCACGGACAGTGCGGAATTGATGCGTCTCGTATATACGGCAATGGGACGTCTGAGAAGGTCAGCTGCGGTGCCCCTTAAACTATCATGCGCCCACTTACACTACTTTCTGCAAGCTGCTTGGCACTCTTGACCTACGAGATTTTATGCGAATTGACACCAAGAACTTCCCCTCTAATCCTGGTGACCACGCCCCCGACGGGCTGAAGCAGGCTCTCCAAGAATCTCGCGAAGCTCTCGGACCTCACAATATCCGAGTGTTCTATCTGCATGCGCCAGATAAGGCAGTCCCTTTCGAGCAAACTCTCGCCGCTGTAGACGAGTTACATAAATCTGGTTACTTGTGCGTCAGTGTACCCTCGCTGTCGTACGTCCGAGACTGACGGGCCCATAGTGAGGAATGGGGAGTCTGCAACTTCTCGGTGTCTGAGATGCAGGAGATCCTGGTCATCTGCAAGGAACACGGATACATCCAGCCTACCGTGTTTCAAGGCGCCTACAATCTCATCGACCGTGCCTTCGAGACCGCTATCATCCCCCTGTTGCGCCAGCACCGCATACGCCTTGCGGCGCACTCTCCCCTCGCAGGCGGATATCTCACGGGCAAGATGCTTCCAAGAAGCCAGCAATCTTCACCTTCAGAGATTCTGAGTCACTTCGACCCATCTTGGGGGCCGTCGTCATATTACACGAAACGCTACCTCCCCATGGCGCCTGCGCTTGCCGAATTGCAAGCCTTCGTGGCTGAGCGCGGGTTGACGCTGCGTGAGGTTGCGTACCGCTGGCTTCAGTATCACAGCGCAATGGCACCGGAGGACCACGGATTGGTCGTCGGCGCGAGTAGCCTTGAACAGCTCGAGAGTACAATTCTAGACTGCAAGAAAGGCCCGCTGCCTGACACTGTCGTGCGGGCGTGCAACGAGACCTGGGAGAAAGTCAAGGAATTCTCCAAGGATTCATGGGAGCCTTGACAGTCGAGTCCATCTTCCCTGTGGTAGAATTGGGATTTTGTGTTCCGATCAGTGTTTATTAACGTTTATTGGTTTGGTTCAGCTTGGAACGACCACAGCCTGCGAGAGCCGTGGACAGGGCCTGGGTCATACCCGCACGGCAAGCCATGACTTGGAGCGGGTAACGTAGCATACGTTATTTATGATTAATTTGGCTTTAGCATGTATACTGTACTGTTTCGACCTGATCAGCGGGCGCGCATTG